AAAAAAAATTTTTTTTACTTAAACTTTCATAAAAACCTAAGTAAAATAATCTTATCAGGACATTTAGTCTTGTTTTAAGTCAAAATATCTCACCGTATTGGCAAACATGTTTTTCTTGACGAGTCAAAGACTCAAATTAAGATGAAATATTTTTTAGTGATCTTTACGTATCAGGATGGGTTCAAATCAAAGTTTTTTCTTTTCCACCTGAGTCAAACATGGTTGACACTCTGACCATCACACCTGTGGAACATTTACCTGCAGAGGCTGCAGGTGGAACAAAAGGAGGCCTGATGGGTTGTGAACGAGCCCAGCACTGCCCTGGGCCAGTCAACACAAACCTGATCTTAAAACATTATGTTCTGCATTCAGAGACGCCACGTACACAACATGGATTTAATGGTTAAAACGTTAATTTTACATGATACATGCTCCTTAACTGACATAGTGCACCTCTGTGAACTGGTTTATGTTGCAGGATGAGATTCAAGGCGACAGGTTTGGCAAGAAATCTGTACAAAAACTACAGAAGCTATAAAAATAAACTCTGATTGATTTAATTATCAAWGTTTTGGCAGGTCAAGATAAGTATGAAGGGACAGGTGGCTTATTTTCAAATCCACAAAAGTATGAGTGCATCCTAGGGTTGATCATAATCRTATCATGTGCAATTAATCATCAGAAAAACATTAATCGATTAATTTTTGGCACTTAATTAATACGATTAATGTCACCGGCAGACTGACTGCTCAGTGCTCCTCTCCCCTTCAAACATGATGAACAGAAAAAARGTTGTGTAATTTATTTATCAACACAATTTAAAGTTTGATGTATAACCTGAAGTCTGTAATTTTGACACAATGTGGAACAGATTTTTACAAAGAGCCAATTTTCTCCCTGTAAACTGGTCATGTGACCAGGATACAAGGGTGTCCAGGGACTCTGGGGATTAATCTTCAAATTAATCGTTATCGGCTAAATACAACACATTAATCGTGATTAGTTTTTTTGCCAATATTGCCCAACCCTAGTGCATCCAGATAAATTCAGACGGACCTGAAGGTCCAATCAAAACGAACTGAGAAAAGATGTAAAACTTTCAGAGGTAAATAAATAAAATGCATACGCCACAGCAATAATATCATATTTAATGAGTAGGTAAAYGATTGAAAGGAAAGATGTGTTAGCATCTTACCTGTCAGAGTTSAGAGGAGACAGCTTCCTCTTCCTGGTTGAGGTGGTGATCATCTTCACACTTTACCTGCAGAGGCACAAAGTCATTAAAGCACTTTAAACAACTTAAAACATTAAAATACCTCATTTAACCAGCGGCCGAATGAGGCACAAACAATTCATTTAGGCTAAGAAATAAGGTGAAAAGATGAAATGCAACTTTAAGTAGTTTTTATTCGTGTTTGACGCTAAATTAGTCAAATATTTCACTGGAGTCTGGAGTCGCTGACCAAATGTTTGATGGGGTGTCTTATTAAAGACTGTAAACACTTATTAAAGACTTCAAACACTTATTAAAGACTATAAACACGTTCAAACACAAACAGTGTTACAGAAGAGCTGCTAAATGCTTTTAAAAACTGTTTTATATGTAAAGCTTGGCGCTAAAAGACAAACAAGGCGCAAATAAAGGTAAATAATGAGGCTAATGCATAATTGGCGGTATGATTATACAAGGTGACTGCAGTTTTCATTCAGCTCCAACAAACAACAGAACTGATTACAACTCTAACAAAACTAAATCTTATTAAACATTATGTCCGTGTGTTTTATCACACAAACACACAAAATCCTGACCTTTAAATCAGCCGTGGGCTCTAATATCAACCAAATGTTTTCACAATAAAAGCCGAACAAGTAAAAAAAAAACCCGATATTCAGACTTACCCAGTAGTTTCCTGTTACTTTACACATGAAATGAAATAATAAGTTTTAAACTAACCACAGGTCTCTGCCTGCTCGCGCGTTCAATGTAAATGCTTTGAAAAGAGCGCGTCTTACACGAACGGAACCGGAAGCTGCGCACACAAGTCACGACCTACCAAAGTAAAAGCACGTAGATTGCATTTTATTCACATCGCCAAAACAAAACGTTTTAGTTTAAAAATAAACCACCGTGTTGTAAACTGCATGTCGAGGATTTAGGATTGTGTCTTTCGAATCGAAGAGAAAGAGCAGTGAATATTTAGATAACTTTTAATTATTTTCAGAGTTAGATAACACACATGTCCTGTATGATCATCATAGTTAAATTATTTCACAAATAAAGAATATCATCTTGATTTTAAACGCAGTTAAAAATAATAATTAGTGATTCATCATTGATGTGTTTCAACTAAGGGACGAGAAGCTTTTATTTTTTAGTAGTAGTGACTACTTCCTGTAGCTTCAGCTAACAACTTCCGGATCAGGTTGTACACGCTCAAAGCGTTGTGACAGCAGGAATATTCCGTTATAAACGGATGATA